GTCTCCTGGGGCCGGAGGGCCAAGAGGAGGGAGGCCCTGGGGGGCTAATTTGCGTGTCCCAGGGGTAACCGGGAGGGTGCTGTGTTGCCTCCACGAGGCGGCGATCTTGGGACACACAGGCTCCCCAGCCGGAGATGCCTGCCTGTCTTCCGTCCTCTGCACATCCTTCCTTCTCTCTTTCCTTCTGTGCTTTCCTCCTCCTCTCTTTCCTTTCCCCTCCCTCTTCCCTTCCTCTTTCTTCCTTCCCTTTCTCTCTCTCTCTTATTTTTGCTCATTACAATGACAACACCTCACAATACAGTAGGCAGCAGAAGGAAAGCCCCACGCAGAGTGGCTTTGTAGATGCACACTGTCGCGTCCCGGATGCTTCTCATTAAGTGCTTATGAGAGACAAGCATTTGGGTGACCGCGGTATGATACTTCTGGACATGCTTGCTCAGCTACTCAGTGTGAGAGGAATGCAAGGCTTTTGCTAGTATCCTTGGACACAGTGGAGAAATAAAAAGATCTCAGGGATTCCATCTTCTAGCCCACGAGGTGCATATTTGACCCCAAAGTACCAATGTCTGTCCGGATGGAGACCTTTCTCTCCAGGAGCAGAAGACTGGGATTTCTTTTAAAGCATGTAAACACTATTTGAGTTGATAACTGGTGATTGTATGCATTCTGGGGCACGGTGTAATACTCAGAAAAAGTATACGTACAGAACGATTATAGTCAGCTCACCAACAAGTCCGTCACATCACTCCCTTACCTCTTTTGTGATGACAGCTTGAAACCTCAGCTATTATGAAGAAAGAAAGTATTTTATTTTTATGATAGCCCAGTTGCTTTGCAGTTGACCTCGTAGTTTATCACTTGTAACTGAAACTGCATACATTTGGACATGCTCTTCCCTTTGTCTGCTCCTGTCAGCCTCTAGCAACTACTGCTTTACTGTCTGCTTCACTGGGCCGGACTTTTCTTAGGTGCCAAATGAGGGAGCTCCCATTGTGGTTGTTTCCTTTGCTGTGCAGAAACTTTCAACTTAATATAACCGGATTTGCAGATTCTTGATGTTATTTCTTGTGCAATTGGGGTTCTGTTCAGAACGTATGCCTATATTGTTGAGAGTTTTGTGTTTTTTCCCGCTAGATTGTTTCCGATTTAATATATAGGGCTTTGATCTATTTTAATTCTAGTTTAGGACAGGGTGAGAGATATGGGTGTAAATTCAATCTTTTGCATGTGGATAAGGTTTTCTCTGCATCACTTGTTAAAAGGGCCACCTTTCCTTCAACATACGTTTTTGCCCCTTTTGTCAATGATCAATACTGAATGTGCTTGGGGTTGTTTCTGCCTCTATTTTTCTCTGTTGATACATGTGTATGATTTTGCAGCAGTATTATGCTGCTTAAAAAAAAATCCTTTAGCTTTGTAACTTGAAGTCCAGGCTGTGATGCCTCTTGCTTTGCTGTTGTTGCCCAGGGCTGCTTCTGCTATTCTGGGTCTCTTCTGGTTCCATTTAAATTTTAGGATTTTTTTTTTCTATCTGTGAGAAATACTTTTGGTAGTTTTGTAGTACGGTCATTTGGACAATATTGTCTCTGCCTACCCAGGAGTAGGGGATATCTTTCCATTTTCTGATATTTTCTTCAATCTCCTTTGCATTACGAGGTCTTTCATTTCTTTGCTGAGATGTGATGGATTTGTTCATTAGCAGGCTATAATCATTCCATACGTATACTATATCTGAATATTACACTGTGCCCCAGAATGTATATAATCCCCAGTTAATTCTAGGTAGTTAATTTTTGTTGAAAATAGTATTTTTCTAAATTTCTTTCTCTTTGGGTTCATTATTGGAAAAGTGACTGATTTATGTCCTGATACCTTGCTGAATTTTTAAAATTAGTTGTAGTGGTACTTTCATGGAAGTTTTCTTCTATGTAAGGAGCATGCCATCTGTGACTAAGGATAATTTAACCCCTCCCTTTCCTATACATACATATCCCTTTTGTTTCTTTCTCATGCCTGACTGCTCTACACAAAGTTTTAAGTCCGGTATTGAACAGTAGTGGTGATGGTAAATGTCCTTGCCTTGTTCCTGACTTTAGAGGGAAGATCTTGGGGTTGTTTTCCGTTTAATACTATGGTGGCAGTAGGTATGTAATAAATGGCTTTTATCAGATGATTATATACCTGTGTTCTATAAGTTTTAAAAAATAAAAATCATAAATGAATGTTGAATTTTGTCTGTTTTTTTCCCTGCATTTATTGGAATGATTGTGTGTTTCTTTTTCTTTTTTTTTTTTTTTTTGCCATTGATCCATTCATTCATTGTGTAGTTTTATTGCATTGTAACCTGGTAACAGGCATGGAATTGTGTGTCTGCTCTTGCTATTGTAGTTTATGCTTGTGAGGTTAAGTCCAAGCAATCATTACCCAGATCAGTTAGATGTTTGCTTTGAGAACTTCACCTTTTCAATTTTAGATTTAGGTTCTTAGCATAATTTGAGTTTATTTGTTTGTGATGTCAGTGGCTGAGATTTCTGAAATCCAATCCTGTCAGTGGCTGAAGCACCACATAAATCAAATTTCCAGAATTATTGAATTATTCAAATGATGGTGTAGATCAAGGAGGAATGTGACCCTGAAATCTAGAATGTGTATCAGGGAAGACCCCGGTGGAGCTGTGGACAGGGAGCCCCTAAATTCTGATGAGTTTTCAGACAAATGAGTCAATTGTGAGGAAGCGTATGGCCGGGGGGATGGATGATGGCCTCCCTGAGGTCACTGTCGTGCAGGACACTGCTGAGTCCTCTTCGGCCCATCCCCACCTTTCCAGGACTGCAGTGAGACTCGTGCCCCAGCAGGCCCCTCAGTGTGAAGAGCCGGGTGTGACCCAGGAGGCAGGTGCTGCACTATCTTGCAAAAAATTTATTTCCCAACTCACGGAAGCAGAAATTTGGGAAATAAGTGTAGGAATGGATATAAGGTATAAGATAACGGAAAACCACACAAAGTTCGATTTGGCCCGAAGTAAGCAGGGCTAGGAATGAAACACAGGCCACGTGCCCGCTAGGTGAGGAGTGTCACACTGTACTCCCAGCCCCAGATGAAACCGATGGACATGGGGGCCTTGGGATCAGAGATCCTGCACTTGATGCTGCTGACCAGGGAGTTAGATGGGACTCTGGCTGTGGGCTCTGCTGGCTGGAGGACTCAGGGAAGAAGGAGTCCATGGGGAGCAAACACGACAGGCTCAGGGTCCCTGGAGTGTGACAGGGGCAGCGTTGCTCCAGCTCTCACGCTCCTCTCCTGTCCCTGCCCTCCCCCTGGGAGCATCCCGAGGACGGTCCTTTCCGAAATGGTGAGAAACGGATAGGTGGGAGAAGCCCAAATAGGCTCGAAGAGCAGAATTGCTGTGTGTTTTTTTGCAGAATTTGTAAAACTGAAGGCCATGAGAATAATTGTGCCCCAGGTCGGCAAGGTAGGGTGGGAGTGAGGGCTCAAGGGATGGCAGAGTCAGTGTGACAGTAAGAACCGCCAGATTGTGATATTGGTTCGTTCCTTGTATTGTTGTAAGGGGTGAGATATACAGGAAGCCTGCTGAATTCCTGCTTGGTCTTGTAAAAAAATCTGAAAGCTGTCAGAATGAAAACCGAGGGGCTCGTGTAAACCCTGCGTGAGTGAATGAATGAATGAACAAAGCAATGTCAGATGGGGAGGAAGGATTCTTGCACAAAGTGGCCAGATCACAACCGCCAGAATAGACCCAGCCTTATTTACAAGTTGGCATGGAAACCAGCACAGAGTTTTGTAAAAGTCCTTCCGCGAGGACATCTGCTCCGAAACAGTCTGTGACACTCCTGGCTGAGGCCAATCTCGGTACTCATCACTGTAACCAAGGATTACTGTTTCTACATAGCAGATGCCACCCTCCTCACTTGTCTCCAAGAACCCCTTCCCTGCACTCGGCGAAGTTGCCCACGATGGCTGTGGTGTGTCCCATCGCAGTGCTGTGCTGTTCTCAGAGATCAGTGCTTGGTAGAGATTCTCCACCTGATTCTTCTACGTCTGTGTTAGCACCTGTATCAGCAGAAAAGTTCTAAGCGAAAGAAAAGTCTGACTTGAATCATAAAAACAGAGTCATGGCTATGAAGTGATCACAGAGCATGACAATTGTGAGACACGGAACCCCTGAATGAAGTGGGGTCAAGGCTACTTGAGAAAGGAGGCCAGAATATATAATGAAAACCAGCTGCATCTGGGGTACCTGGGTGTGCCAGCGTTTTGCTCCCCGCCTTTCTCTTGCACAACAGGGGTGACTCACTGAAGCTTACCACTGGGGCTGGGGTCACAGGTTTTCATCAGGGATGATTTTCATTTGCGTTGCTAATTGACAGAAGTGGAAGATAAAATCACTGGTGCAGGAATGTTAAGAGGTTTGTTGGAGGGAGCGAGGTGACCAGTTGTCCTCCTTGAGGCTGTATCTGCAGCCCTGACAGCGAGGCAGGGCCGAAAGACAGATGGAGCCGAGGAGTGACGATGCTTCGTGATGTGCAGCTGGGTGTCGTGATGGGGGCAGAATGAAGAATGCTGATCTGGGAACCCGGACATCAGCCGTCAAGGCTGAAACTCAAGCGGGATGGTTTTAATGGTCATAAATGAGGTTCTCATTGCTAAGGTAATGCAGCCCACGGCCTTCCGCCCAGCAGCCACCATGGAGCCTTGGCCACCCAGATGGGCCCTCTCGCTGATCTTCTAGACAGTGGCATGAGAGTCCGCAGGCCCTGGGGTCCTGCAGCAGTGTCCACTGGCCTTGGCGGCACCCTCGCGCTCACGGGGACCTCTGTGTCACCCCGGGGGGTCCTGGGATGAAGGCAGGTGCACCGCTCACGTTGCCCGGGCCAAGCAGCCTGCACTGCCCATCTCGTTCTATGCCCCGCACCCTCATCCCCCACCTTCTCACCCTCTTCCAAACTCTGACACAGAGCCATTTTGGTCTGAGTATGAGCTGCTTCAGAAAAACCTTTCCTTTATTAGGAAAATGATCACACATCATTGGCTTCTGTGCTTTCTCTCCAAATCACTCTCAGCTCACTTGCAGCAAGGTGTTGTTTCCTCATCACAGATTCCAGTCTCCTCAAGCTGATCAGCGCAAAGGTAAGAAAAGCAGTTTCCTCCCTGCTTGATGCAGTTGAATCACTCATTTCTTTCAGTCAGGCCCTCGAAGAGGCTGGCACCTGCCGCAGGGGAACACAAGCACTTCAGACTCCCGTCTTGTAGTCGCCACAGAACATTCCCACCCTCACACCACAGTGAGTTCCCTCCAAGGCATTACCTGTTTCTGGGGAGACCAAAGGGTTGGAGGTGCTTTGAAATCATGAGACTCTACACATCTTTTTTATTTGTTGTTTTTTTCAACAATCAAATTGCTGGTGTGTACAAATCCCTCTCTTTCCCTTCTGATGGTAAACTGAGGAGGCCCACTTATGATACAGGTTTTTCGAGCCAGGATGGACCTCACAGACCCACTACTTTAACTTCTGTGTGATCCTCTCCCCCAGTGACAAAACCAAGACCTCTCGTGTCCCAGGGCAGGAAGCCACCTATGGCCGAGCCAGGAGGGACCAGAAGTCTCCAGGGCCCACCTCAGTTCTCACTTCCCCACCGCAGTGCTGCTCTATTACAGTGTTAAGGTGTTAACAGCTCTTAACTAATATTGGCCGCAATGATCTCAGACATTAGGGACACAAAAGAAATGGCGCTGCCATGCTTGGTGCCATGTATGTGGTTGGCTTCTGTGTCCTGGAAGTAACAGAGCGTGTGATCTGTTTGAACCACTTAATCTCCCTGGGCCCCAGCTTCTCAAATCTGAACCTGAGGAGACTGGAGTGTGTGCTTGCACCCATTGAGGCTTGTCATTTTTCCCCTGGAGAGCAACACAACCAGGCGTACGGGACTCAGACTTCATCTTTCAAGGAATGCATTGATTTTCACTTCTTTACAGATGGGGAAACCGAGGCCCAGAGAGTCTGAAGTTGTTGTCCATTATCCCACAATTGCCAAGCCATGTTCTGCCTCACTCCAAAGTCAGTGTCTCCCAGGAAGATGTGTGCATCCTAAGCAAGTGTAGCAGAGAAACTGCCTGCAGGGCGTTCTCAGCTTTTGTACCTGTAATGTGGAGTGAAGCCAAAGGGGTCTGATTTCCTGTTTCTTGGTCTAGTTACACATGTTGAGGAGATCACTTTTACTTCTGCATTACATGAGCTCCAGTGTCCTCTCTCTGTTCTTATCCATTCCTCCTCCATCGCCAACCGGGGACCGCAGGGCTGGAGTGCGGGACGCATCCGCAGTCTCACAGCCTGGATCTGTGGGTGTCTGCAGGGCCTGCACACTGGCAAGGTTCAGAGACAATGGTGGTTGTCACAGCTGGGCTGGGACAGTGAAGTTCTCCGGTGGGGAGGGTGCAGAGGCTCTGCTATGTCTATAGCACACAGGGCAGTGCTGTCAGAATTATCCATGCCAGAAGATCAGTTGTTCAGTCTGAGAGATTCTGGCCAAGAGTTGTGGTTTTTCTTTTAATGTTCCATACCCATCAGAATTAGCAGAGGCACTCTTCAAAGTATTGATTTCATTGTCCTGGAATGCGGTATCTGCATAGTACACAACTCAGGTGAATTAGTGAGCAGCACAGAGACTGCTGAGCCAGTGGTTTCCAGTTCCTGCGGGTGTCTGAGTCTCCTGGAAGGCGGTGAGAGCACAGCAGCCCCTCCCTGTGCCTTGGGTTTGTGAGGCCGTGGGTCCAGGACGGGGTGGTCACTTCCATTTCTGACAAGACCCTGCCCGAGTCTGAGGCTGCTGGATAGGGAGCAAAGGGGGCCCCTGTGGAGAATGTCGGGGTCCCTCCTGTGTGAGCATCTGTGCTGCCTTCCATGCACTGATGTCACCAAGCACCGGAGTTGTTCTTCTGGTGACATTTGCCTTCTCTTGTGACAGATTTGACAGTGCACCCTGTGTCCCCTGACAGTCGCTGTGCTTCCTCAGAGGAGAAACCACGCCTACGTTGGAGCAGGGCCTGCAGGTGTTGGTGGCTTTCATGTGCTTCTGCAAGTGTGTGGCTGCCTGTGACAGCAAGGAGAACAGATGGCCATCTGATACATTTGCACACACACACATATTCACACTCACATGTGCAAGGACTCCTTGTAGGCATGAGAAAATTAAGGAATTACTAGGCCACAATGAGAGAGACAGGAAGGGATGCAGGGATGCGTATACCACTAATGTGAAAAATATGATTACTATGAATTTCTGGCAATAAACTCGAACCATTTCAAAATAGAAAAATTCCTAGAAAACACAAATCAGAATGAAATAATATGATAAACATCATAGAGATTAGAAAACCTAAATAGTTCTTTGATTATCAAAGATGATGACTCCACAAAATAAAACTCTAGTACAGAACAAGCTTGCTTCACCGGCACCTTTATAAAGCAATAAGCAAGGGTGAGGCCGCACTGTCACAGCTGTTTATCGGAATGGGAAAGGTGAGTACGCCCAAGGGGTGGCTTGATTTCAGGTACAGTAGCAATGTCTGACAAGATCAGTAATGCAGGGCAAGCAACAGAAAATTACAGATCAAATCGAACAGTTGAGGGGCAAAACTACTCAATCATCAGCAAACAAAATAAAACCAGGTTCTGTTTATTTTACAGACCAAATGTTTCCTTTAATATTAGTATATCGGTCAATGCCCTTGCCATTAATAGCTAAAAATCACACCAGTTTTATATTTGCAGCCAATACACTAGAAAAGAAAATGCAGCACTGTTTCATTACTAAATTTAAAACTTAAAAAAATTTTAAGAAATCAAAGAAACTTTGGTAATCAGATAAAACATAACTTCAAATCTTACTAAACAAAGATGTTCTGAATGATCAGATATTAAAGGCTTGACATTCGTTACTGGTCGTAAGGTCCAGATAGTGGGCACTGCATTTCTATTTGACCTGTGTCTGAGGCAACACACACACATACACACACCCTGCAGGTATGAGAATTGGAAAAGAAGAAATAAAATTGTCGCTATTTGCAGATATTATAATTATATCTGAAACAAAAGGAATTTAGCAACTCATTTTGGCAAACTTGCTCTACATAGAATCAGTATACCAAAAAATAAAGCAAAGTAAAAGGAAAAAAGCAAACTACATGAATCAACTTTAATTCAGTATTTTAGCAACCGTTAGCGAAGTGATATTAGAATAGAGGAACCATGAAGGATTAGCCCTGCAACTAACTTAGCAGATGGCTCAAATTTAAAAGAATTTAACGGCACGAAGCACTGAAGATTATGCAGACCAATGGGAACTCTCATTTGCTGATCATCGGCATGTAAATCAGTTTTTCAATTTGGAAGACTGGTTTGAGGTTTATTGTTTATTAAATTTGAATATATGCATATCCCAAGACCAAATTCTGCCTTCCAGGAAACAGGAATAGGGGCAAATAGCCCCATTTTGCCAAACGAAACACACACAAACCACACTGTGCTGTCGGCGTGGACAGTCGGGTGCCTGCAGTGGGAGGCACAGGAAGTCATCCCAGCCAGAGTTTGTTCCCCGGGGCAGTGGGACAAGGAGGCTCTGGGGGCTGCAGGCTGCAGAGTGCTCTCTGGACCTGCCTTGGGCTCACAGGTGCTGGCTGCACAGTGACAAGTTATGTTGTCCTCGTGTGTGGTGAGCCTTCTAATGCATGCTACTTTTAGTGATTAAGAAAATAAAATTCAACAGTTTCTCCTGGGAAGGTGGTTCTCACGTCCCAGCGCGGAGCTCTGCTGTGTGGCCCAGGCACCGCCTCACCCCTGCGAGGGTCCGTGCTGTGCAGAGCGCAGAGGGTCGGTAACGCAGGGCCCCGGCCCGCTCCTCACCTGTCCCCAGGTCCCCGCCCCCTCTTGGTGCTTGTTCTCACCCTGGTCCTCCCTGAGCTGGACGGTGAGATCTTATCAGGACCCGTGACCCCGAGGAAGGGAGAGGAGGGAAGGGAGAGAGGAGCCGGGAAGCAGGACCGAGCGTCTCCACACTGGGCTGAGCGACTCCCCGGAACACAGGCCCATTAGGCCCGTTAGGCTGCATGGCTGTGATCCTGCTGCTGCCGCGTGACAGCAGCCACTCTCCGCTCAGGCGTGGGAAGAGGGGTTGGGTCAGTGAAGGGCATCGCGATCACGCAGCAGGAAGGACCTGGGACATAGGTGTCAGTGGCTCATTGAGGAGAGCAGGGCAGAGAGAAGAGAGTGGGTTGTAGCACTGAGCACACAGCAGGCTTGATTTTCATGGTTTGTAAAAGATCTGCATAAGGAGGAATCCATAGGGAACCTCGAGTCTCTGAGAAGAAACAGGATCAAGCACAGCTCTGATGCCGTTGCTGCAGGGACTGACTAGGTGGCCAGCAATGAGGAAGACGTGCTAACACAGAGCAGGGAAGCCTTGGTCTGCTTAGGAAAGAACCAGGAGTGTAAGGTGTCCTCAGGAGCCGTTTGGTGGTGGGGGCTGGAACGCAGAACAAGCGCGTGAGCCCGAGTGGTGATGGGAACGCCGTTCCTCTGTCTGTGCGTTAACCCACCGCCCCGTGTGGGCACTGAGCCGGCTCCGAGGGCTGCAGTTACAGGTCTGCCGGCTGTGTCCACAGCTGAGCTGTGGGGTCCACAGGGCCTGCCGAGCTGCACCCCACCGAGCCCGGGTGGATGTGTTGTCAAAGACTGTGTGTTTTCAAGAGAAGATAAAACTTTCAATTTTATGTGACAAAACTCACTACATTTTGAAAAGAAAAAGATTTTTTAAAAACCTGATTATGCTGGAATCACCTCCTCTCCCCCTTCAGTCTCCCCTCCTGGAACAAGCCTGTCCTGAAGCCTCAGAGCTGGTCTGCCCGTTTCACCTCCTTGGCCAGGTGCTGTACAGCTGCTAACAGCGGTGCACGCTGCTGCCCTGGGTCTCCCACTGCTCAGCTCGCAGCAGAATCCCAGGCCCTGTGTTCCCCCAGGGCCGAGCCTGCACAGAGGAGCCCTGGACTAAGCCTCTCGCCCTCCCCTCTATGGTCCAGAGACCTGGGCTGCGGGGCCTGGGCGTCCTGGCCGGAGCTGTGCAGGGCGAGGCCCCTCCCTATGGGGAGGAGCTGCTCCCCACAAACCTTAGGTCAAGGCCCCGCCGCGGGGCTCCCTGGGCCTTGCTTTCTCACTGTGCCACGGCCAGGCGAGCCATAGGACCCTCTCAGGAGCAGGGCGCAGGGATCCCCTGCTGGGCTCAGGGGCTGGCAGCTGCTGGGCAAGCGGCCGGAACGGGCAGGGGCGGGTGGGGACGGCAGCACCGACGGGGCCATCCGCATGCACGTGTGTGCGGTGGGGTGGATGGTTCACAGCAGGAGAGCACAGTCACAGTGCTAAGGCCCGGTGGACTGACCGGCAGCTGTGCACAGCTCTCCTTAAAGAGAGTGCCCTCGGCTCAGGCAAGGAGCCCCGCAGGCCCCCAGGCTTACCCGGGAGAATGTGCAGGGAGAGGAGGTAGCATGTGAGAAGCAGTGGGCGGAGCATCCTCATGGTGACCGGCAGGCAGGCCCTGATGCAGCAGAGAGAGAGAGAGCTCTTAGAAGTTGAGTCCGGAGAGGCATCCAGAGGCTGCGGGGCAGCTGTATTTATATAGATGAAGGATTATACAACCCCACAGATGAGCTGAGGGAGGTGTTAGAATCCAGGGGGAAGTCTAATAAATAACCTCGTGTCCTTTGCCATGAATGCTGTCCAAGTCCCGTGGTCACATGTCCCTGTGCAGTTCGGGTGAGTTTATCCAGTCGGTGGCCCTGGCCAGGCCTGTGTGTTCTCCAGCAGTGGTGGGGCTGAGAGCCTCACGGCAGGCAGCTCACACAAGCGACCCTCACGTGGCCATGGTCAGAGAGGCCCCAGGAGCAGGAGGCCAGGAGCCCCAGCAGGTCCTGGCTGGCCCTGAGGTCGTGTGTACCTGTGACCCCACAGGGCGGCTGCAGACTTCGCCCTCTGCCCGCTCAGACTCAGAGCAGTACAGGGGTAGCCCTTCTCCCTCAGGCCAAGGCTGCTTTCCATCTCTTTCCTTCTGTAGAACATTGTGCTTAAGCTTCCATCACTCACTTCATTTATCCAGCCAGACAGAAATGTTTCTGAGGATTCTCCAGCTGGGGCTCCCCATGAGTGTCCGCGGCACGGCCCAGGAGCTGCACGGTCCAGTCCGATGACCTCTTACCCAGTGTCTAAGGACCTCTTGTGCTCATTGAGTGTAAATTTAAGCTTTTTCACTGATTTCCACTGTAATTTTTGGAGAAGCTTTCTAGTATCTGAGTGAAGATTCTACTTTGCGAGAGGCAGAAGCAGGCTGTTTCCACTTAGGGCAGAGCGGAGGTTATTAAGGCACGCTGGGAAGCCCGTGGGATCACGGTCAGCTGCTAACAATGTGGCCTAATAGCAGTGCTGGGTGGGACTTCTGGCAGGTGGATTACAGAGGAGGGCAGCTAGGTTCTGCCATGGTTTAGAAATAACTACTCGGCCTTTGACGAAGAGCTCCAGGCTTGGCCCTGGACTTAGTGTAAAGTGCATACTTGACCATGGGACATCACTGAGATGTTCCTCATGGACTAGGTATCATCGGACCCATCGAGTCATAAAGTGAGATGAGCACAGGAACAATCCATCATCAATGGGAGGAATATATACAAAAGTGGACTTGAACAGGTCCTGATGGCACATGAAAAAGTGACCCAAGTGCCCATGGCTCCTGCCTTTCCTCTCCCAGCATGCACCTGTGACCTCAGGTCTGTACTCCATGCGCATTTAACAGAGGAAGAGAAGATCAAGGCCTGGGTTACAGATGTTTCCGTGTGTTACACAGGCACCACTCAGAGGTAGACAGCTAAGCACCACAGACACTCTCCAGGACATCCCTGAAGGACAGCGGTGAAGACCAATCTTCACAGTGGGAAGAATGTCAGGCAGTAGACCTGGTCATACATTTTTCTCGGAAGAAAAAAGAGTGGCGACATGTGGGAAAGTACATCAAAGTGTGGGCTGTAACTGATGGTCTGGCTTGCTGCTCAGGGAGGAGTTGGGAGGAACGCAACTACAAGATTGGTGACGACGATGTTGGTGGTAGAGGTGTGAAGAAAGAATTCTCTCTTCTGTATGGGAGAAGGGAGAGAAGATATTTTTGTCTCATGGAAATATTTACCAAAGGTGACCTCAGAACAAGAAAAGTTTAATTATCCAGTGAACAGGACGACTTATTCTGTGGATGGCAGTCAGCTTCTTTCTCAGCCACACCTCTTGTTGCCTAATTTCTCATGAACAAACTGGCCACGGTGGCAACTTTGGGCTCGGTGGTATTGATTCCCACTCGTGAGGATGACCTGGCCATAGTCATTGCTGAGACCAGAACTGCCAGCAGCAGAGACCAGCACCGAGTCCCCAGTGTGTCATCCTTCCTGGAGTGATGGTGGCAGCTTGATTCTGCTGGACTATTTTCACCATGGCTGAGACAGAATTTGCCTTCCTTGCACCTAATGCTTCTGCCAAAGTTATTACTTAGGGACTTACAGAATGCCTCATCCACTATCAAGGTTTTCTACACAGCCTACCTCTGACCAAGGAACCCACTTCATGGCCAAATAAATGCAGCAGGGGCCTCATGCTCCTAGAATTCATTGGCCTAACCATGTGCCCCACCATCCAGGAGCTGGATTGATAGAGCATGGCCTTTTAAAGATGCTCTGGGCACATGCTTGAAAGCAGTATCTATCAAGATGGGTCTGTGGAAATGGTCATCAGAAGGCTGTAGATGCTCCCACTCAGTGTCCAATATTTGCTACCATTTCTCCCCTAGTCAGGATTCAAGAATCCAGGAGTCGAGAGGTGGAAATGGAAATTGTACTACGCACCAGCACCCTTAGTGACCCAGAAGCACTTTGTTTTTGTTTCCTGTTCTTGCAACTTTTCCCCAGCTGGCCTAGAAGTCTTAGTTCAGAGGGAAAAGGGCTTCTGCCAGAGGCATATCAATGATTCTATGGAACTGTAAGTTAAGACATCGCGCTCGCCGTTTTAGGGTCCTCATCACCCCAAAGGCTGAGTAAACAGGCTGCCACAGGAGTTTTGGTGGGGCAGGGTAACTGGCTCCAACTATCGTGGGAGGAATGGAATTTCTACTTCACAGGAGGTAGGAAGGATGTGTTTGGAGGGCAGCAGATCTCTCCGAGCATCTCCTGGTTTTACTATGTCCCGTGACTCAGGTCAGTGGGAAACTATAACAACCCAATCCAGGCAAAATGACAAATGGTCAAGACCCTTCAGGAGTGAGCATATGCTTGACCCAATGAGGCAAAGAACTGACCATCCATGCTGCTTGCTGGATGTTATAGAAATACATGATGGGAGGTATAAGAAGGGAGTTATAAACACCCTCCACGACCATGTGACCAGCCTGAGAGTGAGCACTGTAATTGTCAAGAATACTTCTTTCCTATTTTAGCATGCCTGCACATATAAACAGATATTTTAAGCAGGTATCTTTGTTTCTGTCTTTGTGTTCTTACTCCATGTAACATAACATTGATTGATTTAATGTCAGTGCTTAAGTATTGTTACTTAAAGTTACATAATGCCAGGAGAAGTGTAACCATCACTGAAAGAAAACTTTCCTCCTACACAGGGGGAGGAATTAGTGCATCTCCAGTTGTATACAGGAGAGTCGTATTACGTGAGGTGGAATTATGAACTTGTAGTTGTCTTTATTTGCCAATTAAATACAATTTAAGGAAGCCTGGCATGGTGGCGCATGCCTGTAATCCCAACACTCGGGAGGCTGAGGCAGGAGGATCACTGTGAGTTCAAGACCAGCCTGGGCTACATAGTGAGTTCCAGGTCAGTCTCAACTACATAGTGAGACCCTGTCTCAAACCCCCACCTCCCCCCAAAAAAAATACAGTTTAAGGAGACATTGCCTGGCTGTCAGGTCAACAAGGGGTGAATTGTGACTGCTTGCTGTGGTATGTCAGTTCAACTCGATTAGAAAACACTTAGCACAGGAGCAAAGTACAATTCTAGGCCTCTCTGTTTTGTGTTTTAAGAGATGGTTGATGCGGTAGACTAGCAAACTGAGGAGGGAGACCCATCTCAGTTGTTGGTGGCACCAACCATACATTTGTAGCCTGGATGGAATAAAAAGGAAAGAGGAAAGAAGCTGGCATGTATTGTTGAAAAGCTGTATTCTGTTTCAGTGGGTGCATATTTTGCTGCTGTCATTTCCTGTGGCTCTCACACTCTAGTTTCTTCAGCCTTTTGGTGCTGACTCATGTCAATAGCTCTCCAGGGAACTTGTCTTAGTCACTTTCTCCTCACTAGGACACAACAACAGATACCTGAAACCTGAAGGAGGTGAAGTTTACTCCCCCTCTCTTGCTCTGCCAGTGAACTGCGTCCTCCAACCACACCATGGGTAACTCTGACCTCTTGCTTCAATTTGTTCAGCTTGTTTCTTTGACTTGTGCAGTTATCAACTGGGAATTACACTTTTCCTTAATCTGTGATTGGGGACTGTTTATGTGCCCATATCTAAGAGAAAGGGCAATTTTATCCATTATAAAACCCCTAACCTCAATCTTTAATGGCTTATCCTGGAAGATTTTGCTCTTGCTCACATCAGACCAGACAAAAGGCACTTCTGGTCACATGAGGACTTTTTGTCTCCTTCATATAATTTTCTAGGAGATCGGGGATTTAGCTCAGTGGTTCTGCTGCTTGCCCCGCAAGCATAAGGTCCTGAGTTCGATCCCTGGTACCAGAAACAAACAAATACATACATATAACTTTCTAGGACCCAGGCATTTGTGTCTGATGGTTTCCTAAGTTCCTATGCAGTAGGGAACTCATCACGTAGGCACAGAAAGGGAAAGGAGAAGAGATTGCATTTGTGCATCCTGGGAGGGACACATTCCATTTTTTTTTATTGGCAGAGTAATCTACATTTGGAATGGAGAAGCTATATAATCAGCACCTACTGAAATTTCTGCACCATGGAAGTCCTGGTAGCTGCCTTGACTACCTGATATCTTTCTTTTTACAATTTCCCCAATCAGTTTGGTGAAAGTATTTCTATTAGAGAGGATACATGAGAGGAATTTTTCTAATTCTTTTCTAATCCTATGAGAATCCTAACTCTAATATTGAAAAACATACAAATCTTGCATTTACAAGGCTGCTATATTGGCTCACAAGGGTTCTAACTTAAGCATTATTTTCCTTAAGAATTTTACATTTATATGTGTTCTGAAATTCATCCTTACAGAAGAGAAGTCTGATGCCAAGTTGATGTATATGTCTTTGCAGAAGTTTCTCTTTTTTCTTCTTGTCAAGAAAATTTAGGATCCTTCATTTATTTATGAAATTTTGTGAAGAATGTAAATGTTATTTTTTTTCATTTAGATGCCTATTTGGGATCGATAGGCTCTTTCACTTATAGAACTTAGGTTTTTGTCTTTGGGAAACTTTATTCAATGATTTATCATGATAGTATTTTTCTATCGTCTCTTTCTGTTAATTCCTTTAATTAGATATTTGTTGAGTGTGCTATCAATTTGTCTTCTTCCTCCTCTCTTCTGCATTTTGTCTTTTGGTTTTACTCAAACATATCTTGCATATTTAATTTTAGATTTTTAT